ATAAGGAAACATATCATACCTGAGCGTTAGAAATTTTTTGTTTTTTGGCTGGTTAGGTCGAAGTCGATGCCACAGGGGGTTCCTTCTTGTGCCCTTGAAAAAGATAAGCAACATTCAGGAAACAACGCAAAGACTCAGCCTAAGCAGATAAAGACGAAGAAGAGTGAGTTTAACCTTTGTTGTGCATCCCCAAGGGCATTAGTGGGCCTTGCATCCATCAAAGGTGCCGACGGACCAAGAGCTTCGCCTGAGAGAGCTGCAAAAGCGTCGACCACATTTTCTAGGAAGAGGTCATGGTCGAAGTGTTGCACTTGGTACTCCGACCACCAGACATTGAAACTCTCGATGGTGAAGAATGAAGGTTTGTAACAAAACACGGGAAACTCTAGATGTTGAGTCAACTTAGCAAACTTGAGGAAGTTCTTATGTCCCGTCAAGTTAAGCCTTCGACCAGCCCACACGACGTCATCACGATGTCGAACCAATGGCTTTGCCAGCATCTGGCTCTGGCCAAATTGTCGAGCAACCAGATTGGACTGATATTTCATGAACCCGTAACCGGTGTTGCTGGAGTCGAAGCTAAATGATAGCATTGTCGGGGTTAGGAAAGCTCTCCATATGGAGTTGGATACTGCAGCTGTTCTGGGGGAAGCACCAGGGAAGGGATTCTGGAACCAGGTCGGCCCAAACTTTCGATGGGTAAAGGGAGCCATCCCAAGAACAAAGATGTTTGCCTCAGCAAACATAGTGAGATATTTCATGAAGAGTGTTTTGTTGGAAGTCTCCTGCGTGGTCAGGAAATCAAGTCGAACTCCTTCCATCGGTCGATCTTCGTTCAAAAATTGCATCTTGACCGACACTAGATAGGCTAGTTGATGTTCAAAAGTGGCCACCCATCGACCCTCATGGATTTGAATAGCCAAGCTAATATAGCTTTTGGCTATTTGCAAATGGTTTGGGCAAAAAAGGTAGTATGATAGCCACAAAGTCAAGAAGGCAATGTGCTCTTCGTCAGACACTTCGACTAAACCTTTGTCGCGATGATCTTCGATAAAGTTCTGAAAACCAGCACGGTCGAAATCAAAAGATGCCCCAGTCTCAATGGTGGGGTCGAAGGTTTTGTCCAATGGAGAAAGACCAGTAATGGCCGCGACATAGAAAAGAGAAGGCGATAGCATCCCACAGGGTAGTTGGAAAGTGTTCGTCGAACCTTCCCAGAAGAACATCGACGCTAGTAGAAGACAGAGGTTGACCCTGTGAGTGTTCCTTGAAAGTTGAATGGCATCGAAGATGCCAGACCGTTTCCATTGGTCCTAACGCTAGTTTTGAACCTTGTTCAACCAGGCAAGGTAATCTTTGTTGCCTGGGGTGTGCACCGAACGAAACACCCTAGCCTTTGGCGCCATGAATTTTAAATCAAGAGTGCCACCTTTGCGAAAAGCTGGAGGAATGGCTGTTGGAAAGCCAGGGAAAAACGACTGCATGTCCTCATGGCTAGGTTTGCCGGTAGGGTAAGGACCATGAAACGCATGGAGTTATCCGATCACCGCGAAGGGGATGATCATCTGTTTTTTCCAAGCAGCCACAACGTTTTCGTCAACAGAAGTGAGGTTTGGAAGAGGCTTATGAGCGTCAGCCTCTGAGATGACGAAGGCAATGGGGTTGTTACCCGTTGTGTGAGTTTGGGAAGTAGTAGAGGATGCCATTGAAAGTGGTGTTTTAAGAAACTGGTATGATTGTTTTTTGGTTGCAGAAGGAGAAGCGCATAGAAAGTGTTGGGGAAAAGTTCTAGAATGAGGTCTAGGGGATATTTATAATCAACGCTGGTTTGAAAGACGAAAAGACAAGGAGTTTTTCAGTTTCTCACTCGTGGGAAAAGTAATGAGTGTAAGTTTGGTACTGACGTGGGGAAGTGGAAGAGAATGATGGAAATCCTTGAAAGTTGTGGCGCAGAAAGGTGCCATCATCACGTCAGGAGGCGACTGACACGTGGCTGATTCGACAAAAAAACCATGATGACGCAGAAAACTGCTACATGCCTGGAAAACACCAAGTCTCTCAGTCGGCAGAAACCGCCTTTGAGACTTGGGTTTTGGTGGGGCATCTTATTGGCTGAAAATTAACCAACTGAAAGCATCGACAGCAAAAACGTCAACCTCAACAGGAGGTGGGAGGAATAAGCCCAACCGACAATGTCCCTTGATGGAAAGAAGCCTCTTGAAAATATTGGCAGCAAAGGGTCGACAACGACAAATCTAGAAGGGACGCACCCCAAGTCGACATCACAAAGGGAGCTGCGTGGTCGATAGGGACCTAAGTCGGTCGACCAAAAAACCAACAAAGGCACCCCCGACAGAGGAGCTTTGGTGCCTAGCGGAAAACAAATTTGACAAAAGGAACGTGGGAGAAGTTACAAGAGTTGTGGTCTGACACGTGGTGGCTCCTGAAGCATCCTGACAGTTATTTTATTTGCCTATATAAAGCAAAACCTGGTTTTGAAGAAGGGGCGCCTTTTGTCAACATTTGAAGAAAAACACTCTGAGTACCACACACTAAAGAGAAAAGAGTTCCCTTTTCATTACAAAATGTACGAATGCATCCAGTTGTACTTTTATTTTTTACGCTAAATTTACCAAGTCTTTATGTTATGAAAGCAACGCTTTTACTTTTTTTTAAGCATTTCTTTGTTTCATTAGGAACACCGTTGTCTTTACTTGCCTAGATTTTATCATACACACTCCCAAAATCAAATAACCGTCGAGTACACCATAAATTCTAAGTAAACATTCCACCCAGTACCAGAGTCCTGCGACTAGTTTAGCCAGTCTCGCAAGCAAACCAACGACGAGAGGTCAGAGGTTGTCTGTGCGAAAAACACGTGCGAACAAGTCACATGCTAATGTCGCATGGTTGCATACTATAGTCGAAGCTAGTTCTAATATGTAATGTTGAAATATATTGTTGACTTATTATGTCGAGTTGGGTCTTGTGTTAAGGATCCAATTGTTTAGTTAGCTTGGGTTGTAAGTAAACTAGTTAGTCTATATATATGCTAGATCACTCAGGTTGTTGAATGAAGTCAATTATATTATTCACTTGTAATCATTTGTAATATTGAGAAAGTGAATAGCATAACAATTTGCGCTAATCCTTCTTCTTCTTTCTTTTTCTTTCTTCTTTATTCTTTCTTCTTTCTCTTTTTGTTCTAACCGTTTTCATTTTTCACCTAAAAACTCTGTTTTTCGATCTCTATTTGTTAAAAGATATCGTTTGTGATCATAACACAAACTTATATCCAAAATATTTAGAGTTCTAAGAATTATATTTATAAAAGAATAATGTTAATTTTTTTTTTATAAAAACACATTATTAGACGTGAGACTATATTTACAATTTCTTTTTGAGAATAATAATTTTATTAAAATTGTTGGTGTATATTTAAAAATGTATAAAAAATTAGTTACATAAAATCTATTTTATACAATTTTAAATGTGATAGACGTGATTGTTGAACGTAATTGAAGGCACAATAATTAAATAATTAAGCTTATGTTTAGACCCATAGTCCGCAAAAACCACTGTGAAAAACCATGGTATTGGTAAGCAGAAGTTTAGTTTTTTTTTTTTTTTTTTTTATAATAAGAAATTTAGTTCAATTTATTATTTTTGACTTTTTAAAACGAATTTGATATTGTTATAAAAAATGTTTCTTTATAATTCAGTCAATATAATTTTATATTTGAATGAATTGATATTTAATATTTTGATTAAAAGGATATGAACTATTGGTCTAAAATTTAATAATTTTAAAAGAGTATATAATTTATATTTAGAGATAAAGTTTACATATGAGTTTAGTGGTTGTTTATTTATTTAATATTAGTTAAATATCTAATATAACATTGTGAATTGGTAGTGAAATATGATTGAACTTGTATAAAATTACACATTAAAGCATAGTTAATAAACTTATAAATCAATGATCTATACAAAATTTAATAAACTCAATATATATATATATATATATATATATATATATATATATATATATATATATATATATATATATATATATATATATATATATATATATGAGATCAACTTACTTCAAGAGTAAGTTGTTTTAACTTACTCCAAATCATATTTTTTAAATTGAATTGAATTTAGTAGTTAAATTAGTCTTTTATTTAATTAATCATTAGATTAAATTCAATTCAAAGGCTCTAATTTAGAGTAAGTTAAAAAAATTTACTTTTGGAGTAAGTTGATCCCCATATATATATATATATATATATATATATATATATATATATATATATATATATATATATATATATATATATATATATATATATATATATATATATATATATATATATATATATATATATATATATATATATATATATATATATATATATATATATATATATATATATATATATATATATATATATATATATATATATATATATATATATATATATATATATATATATATATATATATATATATATATATATATATATATATATATATATATATATATATATATATATATATATATATCCCATAAAAATTCATTTTTTAAAATTAAATTTTCATTTTTCTAGTATTTTTATATGCTACTATATATTATTTTTCAAGATCAATCTAGAATTTAAATAAAAAAAGGTTAAAAAGTAATTTTTCTTTATTTTTATAATTATATATATATATATATATATATATATATATATATATATATATATATATATATATATATATATATATATATATATATATATATATATATATATATATATATATATATATATATATATATATATATATATATATATATATATATATATATATATATATATATATATATATATATATATATATATATATATATATATATATATATATATATATATATATATATATATATATATATATATATATATGATCATTTCACTCTCTTTTTTTCCACCATATTTCATGTGTCTCAATTACAAATGTCTCACAATGAACATAAAGATGCAGAAATAATATCTAAAGAAGAAGATGATGAAACAAGACTACATACTTGTGCAAAAAAGTTTGAAACAATCGTCAAACAGGTATGAAAACCAGTGTTGAAGTGCTTGAATTTCCTTTGTTTTTGCAAATTTAAAAATATCTTATTAGTTATAAATAACTACATATAGACCATTTTTAAGAATCGGTAATCTATTACTTCTTTCAGTTTGACGAGTTGATGGAAATAATGGATGCTGATAACACATTGGTGAAGTCACGCAAGGTATGTGTTTATCAATAAAAAAAAAGAAGTTATTTAACTTTTTTGTAGAATTATTTTTCAAAAAAATAGTTTTTATAGTTGAGCTAAAAGGAAATTTGATATAATCACACGCAACTTTTAATTTTATGAAAAATATAATTTAAATTCATTTTTTACTAATTTTGTAAAAGTAAGTTTATGCAATTTGAATTCTTATACATATCACCATTATTGTTGTAAATTAATAGAGACAAAAAAGGAGTCGTTCTGATGCAAGCACAAGAGTTTCTTCACACCAATTGCATCGAGAAAGTAATGAAGTCATATTGAAGACAGTGACTAAATTTTTGCAAGAATTAGGAACTAATCCTTCTGATTCTGACCCGTGAGGTTAAGGTCAAGAAAGTTAGAGCAGTTGATTGTGAATCATGTAACTGTACTAGCTATCTTCATAATGTGGATGCAAATATTTTGCAGTTGTAGGAGTGGAATTAATAAAGATTACTAGATAGTAAATTTGATACAAAGGTGGAGATACAGTTGAAACATTTTTCATAACTTTGTTATGCTGAATTTGACATTTCTTGATGTGTTTATATGTAAAGTTTTTATTAATATAAAAGTTATCTGATATAACTTTTCTAAACAAAACTATAGCATGCTATGAAATGATGAAAAAATGAAAGAAAAGAAAGGAGAAGGAAATAATGTTGAATGAAAGTAGATAAAAAATGAGTGAAAATAAAATGATTTTTAAGTTGTTTAAAACTAGTGAAAGTGAAAGGGAAGAAAAATGTATGTTAAATACGCTGAAGAATGCTTTATAATGGATTGAAAAATTTATTGGATCATTGAAGGGCATGACATTGATGCCTTTACACTTAACAAAAGTAAAGAAGACTGAAATGGTGGATAAGATAAGAAGTGTCATTATCTTGTATATTGAGGATAAAATTCTAAGAAAGCCTCCCCGAAGTAGACTTTGACTTCGACGTGGGCAAAAATTAAATTATTATATATGACTAAGTATTTGGCTTATAGGTTGTGTTTGAAACAACAACTCTGCTCAATCTTAATGGTAGACAACAAATTCAAAATGGAGGAATTGACAAAATTTTACAAGATCGTTGATGATCTGGAGAATATTGAGGTGAAGATTGAAGATGAGACAAGAGTCTACTCTTGTTGTTCTCATTGCCCAGATCCTTTGAACACTTTAAGGATGTTCTTCTTTATGGTAAGAAAGGTAATATTACTTTGAATGAAGTTCAGAAGACTGTAAAATCTAAAAAAATTCAAAGATTGGTGATATTGGTGAAGACTTGAGTATCTTAGGAGAAGGGAGTGAGCGTAAATGGGTGTCCAAATCAATGAGGTTTGACGAGTCAAGGTTAAAATGTCTTATTTATCATATAATTGTTCACTTCATAATGGATTGTCCCGAGAGGGAGAACAATGCAAGTTTTGTTTAGATTGTTGATGCCTTCGATGAGGATAGTTATGCAGGTGTTGGTGCATTAGTGGTGTCAAGTTTAGAGACTGGAGAGGGTTTGGCCATGAAGTCAGTTTGCTCTTATCACATGTGTCCAAGAAAAGAATACTTTGAGACTTTGAAGTTGGAGGAATATGGAGTAGTTCACCTTAGTGACAATAAGGCTTGCAAGGTTTATTGTATTGGTACTGTCAAACTTAAAATGTTCTAAGATCATGAATTTTGTTTTCACAACATGAGGTATGTTCGAGATGCCAAGATAAGTTTATTATTCATAAGCATGTTTGATGATCTAGGCTATTGCGCTAGAGTTGAACATATGTGTTGAAGATTTCACATGGTAAAGTGATCATAGCTAAAAGGTCTAAAATATGTAGCTTATATATTTTAGAAGTTTCAAATGTTTTTACTCACTCATCATCAATTAGTGAAGACTTTCATTAAATAAACAAGCTCTTTCTTAAATGATAATGTATTTGCGCATCTTACTTTTCCACCATTCAAACTCAATGAAACCTCCATTAAAAGATGGAGGTTTAGAAGTATAGTGTTCTTTTTAGATGAATTATAATCATAGTTTACATCATTTTTTCTAGAACTAGAAATTTCAGAAACATCAGTCATGTTTTTCTCTTATGATCTTTTTCTTTACCACTGTTAAGTGTTAAAAGCACATACCACGCTTTGATGCCAAATGAAGGTGAAAAACACAAGATGGGGGTTGAATTATGTTTCTTTTTCTTTCTTTTCTTAAAATCTCTTACCATTTTCTTAACACAAAGTCTAGAATATGAATTAGAGTTAAAAGTTTAGCAACAAATTAAAATAGTTGAGAGGATGAAAGGAAAGAAAGAGAGACACAAGCAGTTATCTTGGTTCCTCCCATAAATCGAGAGTAGTCCAACCCCTTGCATTTCCAAGGGATTTCACTATAGTAAAAACTAATTACAATTGCTCAAGCACAAAGCATGAGACTTCCAATGCTCAAACGCACAAGTAAGAAAATTCCAATACTCAAGCACGCAAGCAAGATACTTTTAATACTCAAACACACAAGTAAGAGACTTCAATTGCTCTAGCACTTAATAAGAGACTTCTTAAACTCCAACTTATAGTTAAGAGATTTGTAAAAAAAAATACACTTAACATGAAATCAAAGGTGTAGACAAAATACAACATAGAAAGACTCTTTAAGACTTAAGAATTTCTATAATATACATGTGTTAAGAAATTCTAAGTTAAACTTGTGCTTTTTGTTTGACAGAGTAAAAAAAAATTTTATTGTCAATGGTTCATTGTTTCTTTCTTCAAGTCTTCAGCTCCTTATATATAGAAGAAAAAGATTCATTGAAGAGTTTGCATAAGAGGGTCTTTCAAATTCAGATACGTTGAGATGTTTCTTGATATGGTTAATACCGTTGAAAGCTCATTTGAAATTCCTTTTCTACAAAAGGAATTATACGTTGCATTCCAACTGTCTTATGCAGTTTTTTCTTAAGTCTTCACGTGATCAAGAAAAGACAAATGTCCTCAGAGTCTGATAGTGACCTATCAGAATCTCCTCGATCCCTATGCTAATTGGAACTTTAGAGTCTGGATCTTCAAAGCTTGACGTCATTCAGAGTCTGGTCCTCAGCTTATGATCTTTTAGAATCTGGATCTCTAGCTTCTCTTTAAATGTCCATTCTCAGTACCAGTACTAAGTTCTCTTCAAAAAATTTAGTTTATGGTCTAGCACACTTGAAGATTTGTTAGTATATGATATTGTTCTTTAAATACTTTGTCATCATCAAAACCTCAGATATATGGTACAAACCAATTTTGTTCAAACAACAATAGGTATTTTAGCCCCCGCCTTTCCCTCGAGTCTAACTAACGCAGGTGAAAAGCGTCAAGGTGATACATCTCACCCAGGAAAAGCCCGCCCTTCCAAGATCTTGAGTTTGGAGAAGGGTTCTTCCAAATCATTAATAAGTCTTTAGGTAACAAAAGGTTATGAGTGAGCAGGCTGTGGATTTTCCCCAATTGGATATTCACTATGGAATACCCCCCACTTTTTAATGCGATGGAGCGCTTCGATCGCCACCCCTTTCTTTCGAAGCACTTTCTTGGTAATTACCAGTCACTTCTTGGCATGTCTTATTCCCGTTTATCGAACCTACTAAAGGTTCAACTTTTATGGTGTCTTCTATTAGGGAAGGATCAGAGGGAGAAACATTCTCGTACCATCCAAGAATATTAGTCCAAGAAAAATTGTGCTATAAGAAGCGCTCAAGAAGTCGGGGTAGCGGTAAGGGCGTAAAGGGAGAAGCATGAAGGCACATGATGACTTCTCGAGAAGTGTAGTGTCGCAGTAATAAAAGATCAAATCCACAGGGACTGTGTTTAAACAAGATAGTGATTATGCAATATATAAGAAAGCAATAAATGGGAATGGGGGTTCAGGTTGCAGAACAAAAAAAAATATTTTTAAACATAAATGCTAAGATGGTCAGGATGTGTATCGAATCCCCTTATTCTCTTTTGTTGATGTATGATGCCTTGTATATGAATGATCTTATCTCTATAATCTCACGGCGAATTAACAAAGTCGTTATAACTGATCCCTCACTAAATAACTCGCTAATCACAACTCGAAGCTTCCTATTTCTATTCCACTAGCATAAACAGAATTAGGCGATGTACATAACGTGAATTCCATATGTCACTACTCGGGGTCTCCTATTTCTATTAAACAAGCGTAAGTAGAACAATTGCCTTAGGTCTAACACATAGGCTAAGGGTCACTAATCCTTATGTGTCCAATATGATATTAACAAAGTATCTCAAATAAAAATCATTAAGAATGATAAGCAATTGAATAAAATTATAATTCAAAGGATTCATACAAAATCAAATCAACATATAATCCAACATGACTGAATAAGGTTCATCATCACAAAACCTAACCTAGAGGAGCTTAGCTACCCATCATTCAAATAACAATACCACAATTGATAGATGAAAATAGCATATGAATTCCCTTGAAGTAATGGCCTTCAATGGTTTAAATGCCCTAAAAATGACTTTTGATGCTCTCAAAATCGTGCTTTGCTCTCCAATTTTCGTAACCCTTGAAAAAGTGCAAAAAATCCCCGTAAAAAAAGCTCAGAACACGTCAGAAAAAGCCACAAAAAAGTCAACACCGCACACATTATAGATGTATCGCGCGTGCGATAAAACTTATACATCCCTATCGCGCGACCAATGGTGCGCGTGATTATTCCAGTAGTTGCACCAAAAAGCCCCTTTTTCACTTGAATGTTCACTAAGTCCCATTCTTTCATACTTATCTATTTTCCCCTCATTCTTGGGTCTTTCTTCTTCCTTTTGGCTCATCTTTCACTTGTTTTTCTCTGATTCTTCGCTAATTTTCATGCAATGACAGACTATTATCAGCAAAAGCCAAGGAAATAGTTGTCGTGGCTCTTGCCCAATTTAAGGAGGCAAGGTGTTTGGAGAAATCTATAAAGGAAGCTCACAACAATAGGGAGAATTTGGAGGAGTACTTCTCGCCCCTCAAAGACGAAGTCGTGGCTACCTCCATCCAATATTTTGAATGGGTAAGAAGCCATGCTACCTTCGTTTACCCCAACTTGGACTTAAACTAGATGGATCCATTTCTGGTGGTTTAGGATGGGCTGATGGAGGATGATGAGTAGTCTCTTATATTTTGATTCTCTAAATGGACTTTGAATGTTTTGTATCTCTAAGACTCTTGTAACATAATGGTGAAAGATGGATCTTTTGTAGAATTCCTTCTTTTTCATAATGAATGGTGGACTTAAAAAAAAGTGACATGGGCTTAGGATATGATTTGTGATCTTGAATGTGGTTTAAAAATAACTAATGGTTAAT